TCATCTATCAGTTTACCGTCTCTGATCATGTGTTGTAACATTGGCCAGCCATCTGGTTCTGGAGATAGAGAAAGTGAGTTTTCTGTGACCTGCTCGTCAAATAAATCCTTTAACATTATCAATTGTTTGTTAATTGTCACTTCTGATGTGGACTGTTCAGCTTCTTGTACGTTAACCTGATCCTGCATGTTATTGTAGTTGATAATCTTCTGTGTCATAACCTCATTATTTGAAAGTTTCTTGTCATATAAAATGTCTGTTTTACTCTTTCCTCTATATCTATATTTCTTCTCTGGGGCAGGAGCAGCAAGAACCCTTTTTTTCATGTTGGCATGAGTGCTGATCATGTGTTCATTCTTATGTAAACCATGCCAGCTCCCAACACTCGAAAACTTTGTGGAGTTGGATCTCTTGGTTTTCCCACTCCCATTTTTCTCAGGGTGACTAAAACATGCCTTCTCTTGATTTGATATCTGTTGTAAATTTTCACCTTCTTGGAATACAATCATTTTAATATCACATTCAGATATGTCCTGGCTATGGTCAGTTTCAGTATCTGCATTACTTTTTGTGTTCAAACCCTGAAAACAGGTTGACCTCGAAAGGCTGCATTCTGAATTAGAACCAAATATTTGTTTTACTGGCAGACTCTCAGATTCCATATGAAATGATGATGACCTTTTCCTCCTTTTGGCTACTAGATTTCTTCCTCCTGACATTTGATTATCCTTTTCGGATTTTCTTCTGCTGCAAACAGTTGGCTTCATAAATCGAGGCTGCCATGATGTAGAATATGCTTGGACATCTCCAGACCTCTTTTCTATAATGGCAATGTCATGTGATTCCTCTTCAGCAGACAATGAGGCAGCCTCCAATTTTTCCTCTGAAGACACAGCTCTCCCAGTCAGATTTTCTAATTTCTCCTTCAACATCTTGATGGCTTTCCTTGTGTCTTGGCGCTCATCTTCTATACTTTTCATTTTTCCCAGCAAATTCATCATGGCAACTTCCTTGTGGTGCCTTTCTTCCTGGGTTTAATGTAGTCGATGTCAGTTGCAGTTTTTGACTATTAAACTTCAGTTTTTATAAGACAGAAAAGCATCTAGATCGACTGATAGTATGAGGTTTTGGTATGGCAAATCTCAACAAACCAGGTGAGACAACTTAAGTTTTGTCGGAGAATCATTGTTTGTGCCTATAAGACTTATTCATAGACTTGTAGCTTACCATGTATTTTTTCCACATTGTTTATGAGTAGAATATTCTATCTAAATTCTAATGCAGCTTCTGCACATTATGCCAATGATAATATATGATTTGTTACTGACCATATGGTTTAACTCTTCTTTTAGCACTTCAAGATTCTCATGATCTAGGATTATGGCGTTTTACATTTCTAACTTTGTTTAGATTACGACATATGCTTCTTCAGTGATACGTCTATAAAATTTACTTCACAAATCCAGACCTCATTAAAA